AGAGGGTAAGTCTAAAAAATGTCATGTTAACATACGTCCTATATACCTTAGCTTTCGAGTTATAGATAATTAAAGAAAACGTTCCGAGTGCCCGCATTGTGCCTCAACTCACACTACTGCACGCCGTAGCATTGACTTCCGCGCTCGCTCGAAAATACCAGGTGTTCTTCGAATAATCTCGAATCCATTTGATGTTCTTTCACGATAGATTCTAAATGGCCTCAAACGTAAAACTCTAATGGGTTGAGATCGTGCACTTCGAACAGTGTCTTTAATCATTCATAACTAAAAACTAAGGTGATGGGGACCACCAAAAAGGATTGTTATAGCATGTCCTATTACAAAAGTATATAGGACATATGTTCATACGACGTGTTTTACTTATATTAGTGTGTAGATTTACCCCCTGAAATATTGACATGCATTTATGAATCACCCTGTATATTACACATATTAATATATTACACAATTTAACTTAGCATACATTCAAACATAGTTCTAGTGGTAAGACCCATTTACACGCAACCGCGCCGTGTCCGTTCCGTGTCCGTTCCGTGTTCGTTCGGTGTCCGTTCCGTGCATCGCCCGAATTGTTTACCCTATTTTCCGAAGTAACAATTTATACACCTCCGATCCGTGTCCGTTCCGAACGGACTCTAAACGGACACGGCCCGGCTGTGTATAAACGAGCCTTCACTCATGTCTTATTCGATTTCATACTCGGAGTCGCGTTTCAGATGAAGTCCTTAGGACGATGAAACCCAGAAGAATTCCATTCCGCGCGGTTCTAGTGAATAATGCATATCGCGTCGGGCGCTCGCCTCTTGTTGTCGGTAATCGTCCTGTTCGAGCCGCATAGATAACTCACGCGCATCTAATAACAAACAGGCAATCAGGCGGAAATAATTTATCGGTAACACGCGACGCGCACCGGCACACAGCCCGTCAAGGAATTCCAATAGCCCGCGACGTAAGACGTAATCGCGACGCAAGACCGCGCGCGAGGTCTTCTGGGAACATAACGATGCTAAACGGGGCAAGGGTGAGCTGCGAGTAGAGTGGCAGGTTCGCTCGGACGGATAATCGAAAGTTGCTACCAGATCTCGCACGGTTGCCTTCCGAAACTGGTCCGTCGTTTTATCGATCGTCGACGGCGAGAAGCGGAAAAAAAAAAGAGCAAAACAAAAACAGTCAGAGAAGCGTCGTCGAGGTTGCTGGCCGGATTACGACTCGTTGTCGCGTCGTCGTGTCTGCTTGTATCGATTCCAGAACACATTCGTGGTCGGTCCGAATGGTCTACACGAGCGATGACGCCGAAAAACGTGTCTCGAAAGTAGAAAGTTTCGATCGAGCTAACGCCGCGTTATTACGCGCGTTGTGCCCCCGACACGTTTCAAACTGTCTCGTGACACTTGAAATCATACAGACCAATTGAACTCTACACTTGGAACGATAAATGGATATCTGTGATGCCGCCGGCCTTTTAGACAGAGAACACTGTGCCATAGGTATCTCTGTTTCACTCTTGCACGCATCTTTTCTGGACGTACAGTCGCATATACAGGGAGTAACAAAAGTGTGGTAAGTCCCTGAAGTGGGTCACTCGTGAGGTGATTTGGAACAAGCTTAGCAATAAATTATTATCCGCGGCTTTGTGAACGAGATATCAGACTAAGCTCTAATTTTTCGGGGTGATTCGTTAATATCTCCTTGACAAAGATACGGACAACATTTTTGCTCGAGAAAAACTTGTTCCGAATCACCTCACGAGTGACCCATTTCACGGATCTACAACACTTTTGTTACACCATGTAGTATACTGTGGTCTTCAGGGTCATACAAGGGCAGTATCTATTAGTCACTATCATATTGATAGTAAAATATACTACAACTTCCTCCTCTTCGGTGTTTTTCTAGTGTTTACCGTTTACGAAAATAACGATGGTACAAATTATCGCGAAAACCCTGTCGAGTTCAATGTATCCCCACGAGCAAACTCGGCTTCCGCTAGGGGAAAAGAAAAGGCTCCTACCACTTACTAAATGTATGACAAGTTCAGAAATAAATGTTGAACCGAATATTAATTTGGCATAAATTTCAGTAACTCCCAAAACTAAATTATAGGAGGCCCTTTCCCTACCTCACAGTTTCCCCTAGCGGAAGCTGAGTTTGCTCGTGATTGTACAGATGATCTCCTGTCTATCGATACCATGATTGCTCAAATGCTTCTGTACAAAACCCCTACCAAGACGATGCTACCTGGCTGTGCCGATCGTTGATCGCGATCCTCGCTGCTCGCTCAACAAAAGGAGAGATCATGCTCGAACAATTCGACTCGCGTCCCCTCGTTTGTATTCCATGCGCACGACTAGAGGCCGAGTTTCGAAAACTCGACGAACGAATGATGGTTGCCTGTCCCGTCGAGGACAGGCAATATCGCGCGTAATGAATGTCGTGGACGACGCACGACACGGTGTTCTCGGAATCGTGAAAACCGGGTATGTACACCTTGACACGAATCGGGACGTGCGTAGCGTCGTCGGGGATACATGTGCGGCTTACGGGTACCTAGTTTCACAGGGACAGCCGATTTCGTGTTACAGTAAATCCTCGATAAGTGATCGAAGGCTCCTCGATACTAACAAGGATAGGTCCCGAAGTATAACGCTGACTTTTTAGGAAAGTTAAGCACAGTGATGTAGCTTGAAATTCTGAAGCCAATGATATTTGTTTCAGCCGCATATGGCCATTAGTTTATTAATTAATCAATATTCAGTGACGAGGAATCTTCGAACACTCATCGAGAATTTACTGTAAATTTCAAATTCCAGCAAAGTTGCCAGTGCGACTCGGTTTGTTCGCGTGCAAGTCGTTTCGATTCTCGCCCACGAAGGACGTTATTTTCCACTTTACAAAGTGAATAATGCGTTTAAGGGTTCGACCGCTTCCTGTTGACACGCGCACATTCACACACATACATGATATCATCGAGGTCGTACCGGGAGGGAACGTCCCGCCAAGTTTGTACACGCGTAAAAGGCAAACGGTTCGTCCGAGAACCAGGTCGAAAAAACAATCCGTGTTGTTTTCGCCGTTGAAGATGAGAAGCATGTCGACGCTTCGATCGACGAACTTCGTCACCGACGGAGCCTACGCGGTCAATGTAGAATTTTTCTTTACCGATAACGACGAGTGCGCTCGCCTCGTTCACGATCGTACCGATTATCGGTCATCGTGAATTCGTCTTGATCGTTGGTCGATAAACCGTTGTCCTCGAATCGACGGACCAGCTTGTATCTGCAAGAAGACACAACAGTCATGCTACTCAAGATTACGCAATCTCATCGAAATTACACAATTGTTTAACATCGCGATATCGTCGGAAATCGCAAACGCGATAATCCCTGTTCCGAGGATGAAATTCCGACGCCTAGGCATCAATTTATTGAGGCAACTATGTTTCTGCATCGTCATTCGGATGAAATTCGCAGGAAAATCAACGATTGGTTAATCGGCGATAAAGCGTGGACGAAGAGACGGGTCGTAAAAGGAGGATGTGGTCGTCCCCGAAAAGAAGAGAAACCTACGAAACGACGACGCGTTTTCGTTGGACGAGGGATGCAACGGTTTTTTGGCAAGCAAGTGTCTCGCGCTCTATTATTAGGACGGTGCGCATCTTTATTTTAATCGTCGATTTGGCGATGCGGTTCATACAAATGTTCGCCACTATATACCCGACTCTTCCTGTTTCGAACGATCGCGAAACAACTTGATCGTCGGTGGAATTTTCGGCGTGACGATTCTCCAGGCTTAAGTGGCCTTGTCGGCGTTAATTGTAAAACGAGACTGGTTAAACAAACGCGACGCGCGTATCTTGGGTATGACTCATCGTCCGCCGCAAACGGTCTCTCTCGTATCGAGCCGAGCAAATCTGGCAACGCGATAACGAGCAAAGACGATATTCCGTCACCCGCAAAATCCACCTGTAATACATATGTATTGTACTCCCGATTGACAAATCCTCGGCGATGATCGTAACCTGCAAGCTGTGACGCGAACGAGATTAAGTACGCGATTTCCAAATGGAATAGTCGACGTCGATCATCCGATACCACACTCGGATAAGTTTTCAAGGATCTCGCTAACGGATCAACCAGATAAGCCGAACCGCGAATATACGTGGCGGTGGCGAATGGACACGCGCTCGTCTCGACTCTGTTCGCGCACGATAATATTTCGTTACGCAACGCAGCTGTTTTTTTTCCTTTTTTTTTTACGACGGTCAAGACGATTGCGCGCGAACCCCATCGTTGTGTGCAGCTACCAAACGGAATTTGCCGTGTTAGCGGAACGGCGGGTCGCGGAACGAGGGGAGTGAAAACGCTATCTACCCGTAATTCGTTCGATTAATTCTCGAGACGTGTTGTGCCGTGGACACGAAAGCGCGCCTAAATATCGATTCGAATCGTTGCCGCGCGAACGGAGCACAGTTTCGCGCGCGAATCGTCTATTGGAGGGATCGGGTCGTGGACGGTAGATGGCGCGAGCGTGTCCAATCGTAGGTACGTACACGATAGCGGAGCGCACCGATTGGTCGGAGTGCCTTGGATCGCCTAGTCCCCCTTTCCCCACTGCGTTTCAGTTCGTACGAAACTCGGTGCCTCCGAACGCCGGCCGAACAGGCACGAGGGAGGAAGAGAGAGAGAGAGAGAAAAGAGGCAGGTGCGTGCTCGCTCTCGAACACGAGATCGTTGTTAATCATCGTTATCGGTGTGGACGAAAACCGTCAACCGATTTGCCGCTACGGAAACGATTATAGGCGCACAGTGTGATCAGTCGTTCCGCGTTCGCGTACGTTCTTGCGTTTTTCGAAAGTGTTGTCCCGTGCCCCGTGCCCCCTGTGCCGCGCGTCGTGGTGTCGTGTCTCGAGCCGTGAAACGACTCTGGTTGTCTCTCTCTCCCTCTGTCACCGTCATCGACACCGAGAATTCCGTGAATAATCGTGACTATTCCGAGTCGAACGGAAAACGAAAGAATAAAAAAAAACGGAATCGTCATCGCCGACGTCCTCTAGCTTCGCGACGACGTTTTCACATCCAGTGGCTTTCCTCGTCCGTTGATTCGTGCACGGTCTCGCTCTAGCTATCGCTCGGATATTAGTTTTCGTTTCTTTCCACTGAATATTCGGATCCCCGCGCGCGCACTCGTTCGCGACGACGTAATATCTGTACTGGGAAAAAGACTACCGCCCCGGGTTGTTCGGTGGCATCGAACGTTGTGCGTCTCTCGAGCATGCAGGCCGCGATGAACGGCAACGGCCGAGCGAACGCTGCTGCTGAGACCAGAGGACGTAATGGCCACGTGCTAGTGTGGGAGCAGCCCGGCCTGGAAGAAGAGGACAGACCCCAACGAAAACGGAGAAGTATGCCTCATTTTCGAAAACTCGTACTGCCGTTTCGCGTGTCTCTCGAACCGAGGTCTGTGATCGTCGCTGTTGTACAGTCTATCGACAACACGCAAGTACCCGTAAATCTTTGTCGAGAGTTCCGAAATTACTTAGGTATTTGGGCGAGACGTAGCAGCTCGGTAAATGCGTCTCGTGAGCACGTGCTTTCGTTCTCGATCTCACTCTTGCTCTCACTCCCGCTCTCCATCGTTGTCGCCTTCCCTCGCCCAACCTCCCCGACCCTTTCGTTTCCCCTTCGGCCTGTTGTTCGGCCGCCGCTTAGGTATTCCCTGTGTTCTTTCTCGTCGTACAACGTCCACTACATAAGTAGATACCTACTTATGTTTCCACGACGCGATAAACGGCGGTAGCTGTCACGAGCATCGACGACGCGACTGCACCGATCTCGTACGCGCCGAAATAATCATTGCGTGGGTGTACACGTGTTAAATAGCTCGAACCTTTCGCTTTTTCTCCGCCTGTGTTCCTCTTCTTTTCCGTTCTTTCGCCTTTTATCGATTTCCCAACCATTTTTCCCGCGCTCTCTCCATTCCGTTCGTCTCCGCTCGTTTCGCTACGGTCTGCCGTCTCTGTTAAGGTGGCTCACGTAAATTTTTGATAATTATAAATTTAGTTGAAAATTTCACGCAACATTCTTAAACGCTTCCATTTTCGATTGATACCAAAAAGTCGCAAGGTCGACGATCAAATGATTGCGAAAGGAATGTTAGAAAAATGTGTTTATCACACGAACCTTATGGAACTGTAGTTGATACTAAGTTAATCACTTCTTATTTGGTTAGAAAAATTACATTTTCGTAAAAAAATTAGGTGGTTATATATTATTAAAGAAAAAGAATTCAATTTAATAAGGAAAACATTTTTGTTTGTTGAACTTATTTGTAAATCTCTTTTTCCATTTCAGTATTTTGAATCAGTTTATAATATTAACCAATCAAATTAAATTGGTGAAATTGATAAAAAGTATGAAGCGTCGTATGGAGCTCCAGATACGACACCAAACGCGTGAGCTACTTTAAGTAAGGTATACCTATATGTTATCTCGAAAAGAGATAAAACAAACTCGTCCTATAGTCGTGATAGATCGTTATTGAAGGTTGGGTCAGCAGACACCGTCCAAGGATATGAATCCTTGGAAACGGGACGTTCCAGGGACGACTCGGACGATAACCGTCGATGTACTGTGTCATTCGCGCAACCAATCCGTTTCTCGGAGTCGACAGTTGCGTATTCTCGTTCATAACGCGACACGGTCGTTTAACCAAAGGTCGACCGGTGGACTCAAGCGAAAATGGGGGATTCCACGGATCGAGCAAGCTACAGTAAATCCTGGAAGAGTGTTCGAAGGCGAAATTTACGGAGGCTTCTAATTTACTGCACATTTTACATTACACTATTTTACATTAAATTGTACTATACATTGGGTATATTACTATAGTATACACTTTAATTTAGTATACATTTAATGCTAGCAATTTTAGCACAGTGACAGAGCTTGGAATTCCGAAGGCAATAATATTTATCAGCCGCATATGGCCATTAATTTATGAAATATTTACCGTTCACTACCGAGGAGCCTCCGAACACTCATCGAGCACTTACTGTACTTAACCAGTCAGGGAAACCTGCAAAGTGAAATTTTGTCCAATGCATCTTATAAAATTATGGTTACAAGTTCGATGTAAGATTTCCTATAAAACAACTTGCGTGCAAATTGGCAACAAATTATCACGCGCAGACTCTGTTCCGTGTTTACCCCCAATTTGACGCAGGTTATTTTGCAAGACTTGCTGCCACCAATTTGACCGTTTTGTCAGCTGGTGTTGTCTGTAAAACCAAAGTCAAATATGGAAACTGATGACTACGGTTCTTTCGAGAACTTTTGTCATTATTTCCTGGAAACTTGTACACAACTGGTTATCAGTCTCTCAGATTTTGGTCGGCCGATCGACGAAAACGGTTCTTTCGGGTGCGTTGCACGGGCACGGCTCAGTTATTTCCACCGGACGAGCGACCACGTGCTCGTCGGCTGCTAGTCAGCTGCTCAGCGGCGACACCGTCGTGTCGCGTCGTCTCGACACTAGCCACGCGCGCGCGCGCGCGCGCGATCGCGTTGCCAACCAGCTTCGTCCTCGGCCACAGCCACCGCGACGCGACAGCTTCCTCGTGAACGCTTCGAACGAGCCTCGAACTTGACCGAGACGCTGAGAATCCCGAATGATCGCGCGGTGGACACACGACTCAGCGTGTAGTAGTAATATAGGTGGCACCACAGACGAAGTATAGGAGTAGACGTTTCATCGGATGTACTTTTTCGACCCACTTTTCTGGAGTGGCGACACCCCATTTTCCATTTTAGTGTCACTACCCACCGCAAATTCAACGTTCCCGTAACGTAGATGTATACATATATATATATATATATCTTCCTTATGTCTGATTCAGGAATGCAAAACAAATGAATATAACGATGCTATAAGAAACTCGTTTAGCATTATAGACTTTAACATTTATAGAATTTAAAATTTATAAAATTACACATCTATCTCTGGCACATATAAGAGAAGTTACATATATATATATACATTATGAAAAATATATCTTGAAATCACGAATTGATCTAATATGATATTTATTACGATTTTTGAATCGATTCTTTGTATTAGATTTTCGAGAGAATCGATTCTCGATGATTTGATTCAGAATCGTTTTGAGAATCGACCATCCATAATTCTTACACCTCGTCTGTGGCACGTTCGATGTTCGATCTGTCATCCCCCCGAAAAACCTCGAATCTCGCGAAAGGAAGGAGTTTCGCGTCCGGTCGTCGCGGCTGCGATTCTACCCAACGGAACAAAATCGGTTGCAACCGCTATTTTCGGCTTCGCGAGTATCGAGACCGGAACATCTTGGGAGACCGATCTGTCGCGGTATGGCGATGTATTGCGCGCCGAAAATAAAGCTTGCAACGTAACCTATTAATAAGCCGCATTATTATCCCCGCGATCTAATCGCGCGGAAATTATAAATAACTGACGCGCGCAAATGTCGGTCGACCCACCTTGGAATGTCGATGGTCGAATTGTCCGAAACGATTTCGCGGGCTTGTTTCATCGTTTTAGTGCGAACAACGAAGCATCAGTTTCGGCCGCTGAAAAACGCTTTGTCGGCGAACTGCTTCCTCGAATTTCGCCGAGTTTGCACGCGGTCGATCAACGTTGCGCTGTTTATACGTCGACTCGGTCGATTCCTTCGCTCATTCTCACGCTGTTGAATAATATTGAAACATTAGGACCTATTTATCTCTGTCTCTCACGCCATATGTTCTTCGACCGACAATCTTGTCAAAGAAGAGAATAATATTTATTTGTAGACGGGTTATGAACTGTTTGTTACAATATACAAGTACAGTAATCTCTCGATAACTGCGACATACTCGAGTCCGTTTCGGAAAATTCATGGCAAGACGCAAAGGTTTTCGACCCATCTTAGATTTGTTTTTTACCAGAAGCCGAGCTTCTGCGTAGCTTTTATTTACTCTGATTTGATTAATTCCAGAGGGGAACCCCCCAGTAATGGGAATAACACCGCCGTTGCTCGTGTCGCATTCATCGAGGAATCGCTGTATGTAGAAGTCTAGAGGACAAACGAAAAGTTTAGAATATGCAATGATCAGTTTACGAAGACATTATAGTAACTGTACAGAAAGTTTAATAAAATTTAACAGAAATTCTCTGGGACTGTATGAAAAATTAGAAAAATAAATAACAAGAATAGAAAAAATTTACAGAAGTATTCATAAGAACATACAGGAAGTTATGATTTTGTAGAAATATAAGAAATAGAAAGCAGTAACAGAGAAAGTGAGAGAAAAGATGTAGAGGGAAAAATTTGATCGCGAGTACGTAGCAATCGAAATCACTTTGCTCCGCAAAGTGACGCAACGAACGGGGTCGCTCGGTCGATTCCGTTCAGATAATTGATAACCATATTCGAGAAAACGGCATCGAGATCGACGCGACCACGAGGACGGTCGTTTGGTCGTTTGGTCGAGAATTGTTTCGGACAATTCGGTCGCGATCGGCTGTTATTCGGACGAAAACGATCCCGGAAACTGTTCTCGCACGGCCGAATTCCTCTATGATGATAACCGATCCGCGACAGCCGTGAACACGATTGCCAACTACGCGGTTGTTTATCGTTCTCGTGCGGGACTTACCGTCCGTCGGGTCCGTGCCGGTTGATCACGATAACATTGTGAACCATCCTTTTCGTTACGATTAAATGTCATTTAATTTTATTTAAAATAAATTGCAATTTTTAAAAATGTAATATATTTTTATCGTTTTTTAACCAATCGACCCCGAAAATCGGATAGCCCTGGGCCTTAAAAAATCATAATCCGAGCCTGGGTATTATCTTGGCCGTTTGCGTGGACTTGGTTCGACCGATTCCGTTTGATCGCGTAATCACCGACGGACATGATCTCGGCTTATAGATCGATCTGTCTCTAACGAACGATCTGATTGTCTGTTGCAGGATTGGTGGGCTCGCGCCATGTGGTAACCTTCATGCTGTTCCTGGGTATGGCGAACGCGTACGTGATGAGAACCAACATGTCGGTGGCGATCGTCGCGATGGTGAACCACACGGCTCTTCACGGTCACGAACACGACCCCGAGGTGACGACCAACGAATGCGGAGTGCCGATTACGGACGCGTCCAGCTCCGCGAATGTAAGTTTCCCTTCGGGGTTGTATAATTTCGAATTTGTTCCGAATGACGATTCGTCGAAGGAATCGTTACGATCGGGGACTTCTACCGAAACGTAAAATACCGATATTTTCGGGCGTACCTTCGCCCTATACGTATAACCCAATATAAACCCAAACCTTATAGAAACCGTAAAAATACCGGTATTTATTTCGGTTTTCGGTAATATATCGATTTCGGTATAGCTTTGATGGCATAATATCGGTATCAAAATCATAACGGTTTAACCCTATACACGCCCTGCCCTAATAGAAATCGAAAAAATACCGGTATTTATTTCGGTTTTCGTTAATATATCGATTTCGGTATAGCTTTGATGGCATAATATCGGTATCAAAATGATACCGGTTTAAGTCCCTGGACTTACGTAGACACCCCAACTGATCGATCGTGAAATTGTTGTTTCGATTGTAGAGCGGCAGCGACGGTGAGTTCGTGTGGGACAGCACCAAACAGGGCTACCTGTTGAGTTCCTTCTTCTACGGCTACGTGATCACGCAGATACCGTTCGGTATACTAGCGAAACGTTACGGGTCCAAGTACTTTCTCGGCGTCGGGATGATGATCAACTCGGTGTTCGGGTTACTGGTACCAATGTCCGCGCGTGCCGGATACTACTGGCTGATGGTAGTTCGATTCATTCAAGGCCTGGGCGAGGTAAGTTCGTTTTCTCGATCTTTCCGTTAATTCGGCCAAAACCGGCGCGGCGATCTTGCAAAACGAGTCGCTGGAAACGAAAGAGCAAAAAAGTACATACGTTGAATTCGACGAAACTCTTAATCATGTGTGAACGCTTTTTCATTGCTCGGGTGTATTTCCTCCCCCTAGGAATGGATTATCCCTATTGCAGGGTCCAATTGTGCCTTGCACGCACGCGATGCTGGCCAAGTGGATACCGCCGAATGAACGCAGCCGGATGGGAGCCTTCGTCTACGCCGGTAAGCTCGTTCGCTGCGATCTACGATTTTGCCTAGCCTCCTTTCGTTGAACGTGTGTGCGCCGCGATCTCTTACCGCCTCTACCGAAGGACGGATACCTACCACAGGATGCCGAATATCGTCCGACACTCGACACACTACGTGGTCGCTCTAATCCGCAGGACGCTTTTTCTTCCTGTCCTCAATCGTCTACTTCTACTTCTACGTCCACTTCTATTTCTACTTCTACATCTACTTCTACTTTTACTTCTACTACTACGTCCAATTCTATTTCTACTTCTAAATCTACTTCTACTTTGACTTCTACTACTACGTCCAATTCTATTTTTACTTCTCCATCTACATCTACTTTTACTTCTACTACTACGTCCACTTCTATTTCTACTTCTACATCTACTTCTACTTTTACTTCTACTACTACGTCCACTTCTATTTCTACTTCTACATCTACTTCTACTTTGACTTCTACTACTACGTCTAATTCTATTTTTACTTCTCCATCTACATCTACTTTTACTTCTACTACTACGTCCACTTCTATTTCTACATCTACTTCTACTTCTACGTTCACTTCTACTTCTGTTTCTATTTATATTTTTATTTCTACGTCCACTTCTATTTCTATTTCTACTTCTACGTCCACTTCTATTTCTATTTCTACTTCTACGTCCACTTCTATTTCTATTTCTACTTCTACTTCTATATCTTTTTTTTTTTTACTTCTATCGTTGTCACCATGTTGGTCGGTATATGTACAACATAAGGCACCGTTAATCGATTCTTTCCGTCTGGTCCCGACGTAGGTGCGCAATTCGGCACGGTAATATCTATGCCGCTGAGCGGAATCTTGTCCGAATACGGATTCGACGGTGGTTGGCCGTCGATCTTTTACGTGTTCGGCGCGGTCGGCACCATCTGGTGTGTCGCTTTTTTATTGATGGTTTACGAGGATCCTGAGAGTCATCCCCATATCGCCGAAGACGAGAAAAAGTATATACTGAGCGCGCTGTGGGGCAGCGCTGGCGCATCGGTGAGTACCCGATCGAGATCTTTCGATTCGACGCGGATCAGATCGTTTTTTTTTTTAAATACGTCTGCGACCCGTTTCGTTTCCAGTCGCCTCCAGTGCCATGGCGGTCCATCGTTACGTCGCTGCCATTTTGGGCCATTTTGATGGCGCATATGGGTCAAAATTACGGATACGAAACCCTGATGACCGAGCTGCCCACATTCATGAAGCAAATATTGCACTTCGACATTAAATCGGTAAGGGTAGGGACAAGGGAACTGCATTCTATTCGCTCGAGTGACGGATAGTACTGGGTGACGACATCTGGCTTGGTCGGCTTGAATCCGACTTGGTTACCCATCACTAGTGACGAATTGGTTAGCGCGCAAATCGTACAAACGATCACACGTGTTCGTCCGTGTTTCAGAATGGCACCGTTTCCTCGCTTCCGTACTTGGCTATGTGGTTATTCTCAATGCTGATATCCCACGTGGCTGACTGGATGATCTCGAACGGAAAGTTCAACCACACGTACACCAGAAAAATCATCAACAGTATCGGTCAATTCGGACCGGCGATCGCGTTGATCGGCGCTTCCTACACCGGCTGCAATTCGTGGCTGACTGTTACCATCCTGACGATCGGCGTGGGTCTGAACGGTGGTATTTATTCAGGATTCAAGGTGAATCACCTGGACATATCCCCGCGATTCGCTGGTGTGTTGATGTCCTTCACCAATTGCCTGGCCAATCTCGCCGGTCTTCTTGCACCTATCACGGCTGGATACATAATCGTCGGAACGGTAATTATTGAATTCCTTCTACGAAACAGATCGCCGAACCTCGATTCGAATCGCGGCTTAGTTATACTAGGTGTCCCAAAATAGGTATAAATCCTTGAAAGGAGTGATTTGAGACTTTTTCCTTAGCGAAAAAGTTGTTTCAAATCATCCCAAGAATGACCCCGTTCAAGGATTTGCAAGTATCTTGGGACACCCTGTGTACATACTGAAACTTTCAGTGAAATCTATTCTCAGTCAGTTCTGTTTGGAAAGGATGTGCGAATACTTTTGTTACTCACTGTATGTATGTACACAATACGTATGTACCTATTATGAAACACCCGACACGTTTCGGTTTCAGCCGACGCAAGCGAAATGGAGACTCGTCTTCATGATATCGTCGGGCGTGTACATCGTGTGCGCAATTTTCTACATAATCTTTGGCTCCGGAGAGCGACAGTCTTGGGACAATCCGGACAAAGATGAGGAGAGGCACGAGAAGCAAGGCCTGGAAACCGTAAAAACCGTTTCGGAAACACAACATTGACGACCAGTCTGGTTGCGTGACGACCGATACATTCGCGCGCTTTCTCTCACTCTCTCTCTCTTTCTGTCTCTCTCACTCTCTCTCCTCCTTTCTCCCTATCTGCCATTACAAATACGGCGAATACGACAGACGATGCATAGATAGAGTCGTTCGAGCCTGAAGAACCGACCAGTACGTTAATCCCATCCGTGTCCGTATTTTCGGGTGAAACAATCGAATCACTTCATCGAAAGCTCGTGAATTACCGCGAAATCAACGTCTTCGTGCGGTTTCGCGGTATCATCCTCGACATCTATTTAAATCGTTTTGTATCCTCGATAACTTTAGTAAAAGTGCGCATGTGTATAAAATCGCGTTTCTCGGATCGAACGGGTTCGTTTTCGTATTCTTCCAAAGTTCCCTGACAGATTTCCGCCGTGCACCTGAAGTACCATTATTTCTACTTGGGAACGAGAGTTCCTGAAATGAAGTTCCCACGTGTTGCACAGCCAACTGGTACGCAAATACTCGTGCAACGACCAAGTCGAATCGGACGTCTTGTTTCTACGCGATGTACAGAATCATATTAAGAAACGAACGAAAGTGTCTGTGAGTACATATTACGAAGAGGTATATGAAATATGCATATTATACATACAAACATGAAAAACGTATTCCTATACATACGTACACTGACGTGCAAACTCGGCTTCCGTTAGGGAAAAAAGTAGCGTAGTTGACGGCCTGCATACGACTCGGTAAATTTAAAACAGGCACTGAAGTAAATGTTAAACCGAATGTTAAGTTGGCATAAATTTCAGTCCAACACCAAATAGTAGGCTTTTCCTTACATCACTTTTCCCCCTAGAGGTAGCTGAGTTTGCTTGTGAGGACACATATAAATGTAGAAAGAGAGAGAGAGAGAGAGAGGGAGTCGGAAAATACGAGCGATTGAGACGAGGAAGGAAAATTTTACATTTTTATAGAGTACCTTTTCATTTAGCGATCATTACGTGCCTTACGATCGAATAGCCCAGGATAAAAATAGCACTAGAGTTTCTTCGAATCGATCAGAATACGCATCGACGACCAATGATCGCTCGATCGACGGAGCGACGGTTTGATCGTAAAAGAAAGAATGAAAGAAAAAAACCGGCGAGTCGTCGCGGCATCGTGACGGACGAATGTGGCAGCAGTATTAGAGAAAATATCCTCGCGTTCGCCCCCTTTTGTTACGCGCCGCGTTTTATCCGCAAACAACTGCCATTTTGTATTGCACGACTGACACTGATCGCGAGAACGTGCTCGATTCCCAGTCTTCAGGGATGTTCAAGCTACTTCCGGAAGCGTTCCGAACAACACGTTGCAATACAAGAATGGTTTATACATACTGTAGATATTTCCACGCGTATGTTTCTACTAAGTTATAGTGGTTAGGAAAAGATATCGCTCCTACTTATTTATACAACGTGTACAAAGCAGAAGAAACCGATAGGAAAGGGGATAATTTCGAATGTATTGAAACTTATGAAAACAACATTCGAAGGAGATAATTTATAGCCGCGTAGTAGAATGCATTTTCTCTTTTTTTTAATTATTATTGTTGTTGTCAATATTATTATTAATATTAATACTGCGTATTATTATTATTATTATTATTGTTGTTATTGTTATTCTTACAATTATCATCATCATCATCATCATCATCATCTTCGTCATAGTAATCGTTGCCAATCATTTTCGTTATTATTACTGTCAAATGGAAATACCTATCGTATCACGCGACGGACGTCCATGGAGAAGCGTTACCAAAATACATACGATATCTATGCTACTACGAAAGCGAAACGATTCTTTGTCTTCGTCTTTTTCTTTCGCACAGGCAGACTATTGCGAGCATTCAGTTTCATTCAGAAACTTCGCATATAGTCTTGTTCGTCATGTTCGGTTTCTCAAACCGATCCGCGCGTCATGGGCGACGCGAATTCGTTCAAAGTACCTGTGTCCCTCCTGTGATCATGTGCCAAGAAAGTGCCTTCAACACTGTCCGTTATAAATTCCATCGTCTGCCGTTTGATAGATCCCAATTAGCTGTAAAAGTAAAACGCGAACGAGCAACATGTGCGTTTAAGCTTCAATTGTACGAATTGCGTCGCATTCGATTCCAACCTTGTTGCTTGGAGACTCTATGTACATACATCTGTCCCCTGTGTGCGTGTGTGCGTATATATATGATACAGTAATCCGTCAAACTTTCGAATTCATATTTTTGTATAAAGATTTATGATCGTTGTGTACGCACATACATAAAATTAACGATGCAACGTCTTGTGTGATCGCATAAAACTGTATTTTCACCGTTACAAGTGTAAAACATGTGATAATCTACGAGTGCAGGTGAATAAAATGTTGCTCCAACGATCAGCAAGCACTTTGTCAGTTTATTCGTATAACTGTGGTAAAATAAGTACATAGTTCATTCTCCTTCCAAAACCCGAGAAACTTCAAAGTAAACAGAATATATAGCGCTCTCTCCTCCTTTCTAACCCTTTCTGTTTCATTTCATCGAATAGTCTTAAATATAACTGCATAAATATTGTACAATCCTATACTAACTATAGTTGTCTGGTTCAACAGGTTACTAGAGAGACTACCTACTGCCTACGTCTTTTAAACTTGGGCTGTAGTAGTATCTGCAGAAACTGCCATGGTTGCAGGGATTACTCTATAATTTGCTCACGGAAGCATTTACAAGTGTCAGTCAAATTTCGACAGTTGCACGAGCAACATTAGACCGAGGTCGAGACTCGTACAAGCAACAGCGATAAAGGATTACATTTCAAAACTCTTCCGCATGCACCGGTGGTTTTCTGACCGCATGTCACACCACACGGGGGTCACTGGCGTCACCTCCAGGGGTTCTACGGCCCCACGTTCTCATCACACGAGATACATGACACCTCCACCGGGGGTTCTATGACCCCATGATCTCACCACACGGGGTCTCTGGTTTACTACAAAACTAACTACTGCCTACGTCTTTTAAACTTGGGCTGTGCACTAGTCCTCTGCCGGATTCAATCTGTTGTTATTACATGTGGTTTACGGGACAATGAACGGTACTGAAATGGCTTGCGTCAGTACACATTTGAAAGGTGATCCTTTATCGCTGTTGCTCGTACAACTCTCGAGCTCGGTCGAATGTTGCTCGAGCAACTGTCGAATTAGGACTGACGCTTGTGCGTGTTCCCGTGAACAAATTGGATAATAACCCCAGCAACCATGGCAGTTTCTGCAGATACTACTACAGCCCAAGTTTAAAAGACGTAGGCAGTAGTTAGTTTTTGTAGTAAACCAGAGACCCGTGAGTATAATAACAATAAACAACTAGAACACTGTTAAAATCGCATTTAATCGCGGAGTACCACTATTTTTTTGACCGGTGGCGCCACCCATGGCGAAACGCTGAAACTCCTAGCCAAATAATTGGCTAGTCGATATTTATTTCCTTGTGTACTGTGATTCATTTACTCTGATTTATTTACTCTGATTTCTATACTGTGATTTATTTACTGTGCATATTATGTATTCTATGTGTATTGTATAATGAAAAATATTTTTCCAAACAGTTATTCCATCGAAAGAAGACATCGATCAACGTCTACATCTTCAAAGCGTGCGTCTACCACTGCGTTAAGTTACTGTAAGTTAAACTT